AGAGGGTCCTGAAGTTCAGGAGAAACAATGGAGAATCACAGAATATCAGAACTGGGAGGGCCCTCAAAATATAAAATGTGAGAACACAGAACATAGAATGTCAGAGCTGAGAAGGTCGTTACAACCTAAGTTAGGATGCAGTCAGAGTTGGGAGGAAACTTAGAAATCATTTGGTTTAACACTTATTCTCTAGTTGAGCCTTTTTGAGTGAGAGCAAAAGTTTCTGGCCCATTGGGCAATTTGAGAGTCAGAATTTTAACAGTTCTCTAGACAGTGGCTAGAGAGTATCAGTGTAGGTGTAGGGAAGATGAACTGTGGGTCACATAAGGACAACAGCCAGGGGAAGCAGTGTTATCTCTTTACACAAAGGACAATTGTACTCGTGGACCAACTGCTTCTTTCACAGCCAGAACCTGGTTAACATTAAAGATCCCCAAGGCAGGGAGAAAGCTACATCTGAAAACCTGGCTGCAGAGACCTGTAGGGATGGTGTATGAGAAAAGGCAGGTATGCTCGAGGCCTGGCTACCCTAGTTCTCTATGAATTTAATGTAAGAGCCTTAGGGACAATAATAAGAAACTAACTACCTCACGAAAACAGAAGAGGATCCCCCCAAGAATGGGTTCTGGGTTGATGGGTAGATGCTGTAACTTTTTGAAGCCCAACAAGGGGACAATTTCTTGCTAATGATCCTTGGAGTGGAATGGGGAAAAGAGTTCAGGTTAGGAGCAAAAGAACTCTAGGAAAATTTGAAGAGAGAAAACAAAAACTTTGTGCTAGTGAGGATTAGTATCTCATTTGATCCTTATAACAATTCTATGAGACAAGTAAGGAGATGTTTTCATTTTGCCGATGAGGTAATTGAGGTTCATAGACTTAAGATTATTGTTCTTGTAGTTCAGTCCTTTCCAACTCTTTGTGACCCCATTTGGGGTTTTCTTGGCAAAGGCATTACAGTGGTTTGCCATTTCCTTCTCCAGCTCATTTTACAAATGAGGAAACTGAGGCAAACAGGGTTAAGTGACTTGTCCAGGGTCACACAGCTAGGAAGTGTTTGAAGCCATATTTGAACTCAGGAAGATGAGTCTTCCTGACTCTATGCCCAGTGCTCTAACCACTGTACCACCTGGCTGCCCCATGAAACAGGTAAAGAGATATTATCTTCATTTTGCAGATGAGGACACTGAGATTTATGGAGTTAAGATCACAGAGCTACTAAGGGATAGTCAGAACTTGAACCTAGGTCTTTTCCTTAAATGCAAGGAATGTCTTATCTCCTCCAGTGTAGACACTATACATATCAGGTTATTGTTGAATTCTTATCCCAGATTCAGGGTTTTCCCCACTATCAGTGTCTCACATCATACAGACATACCTGGCTACTCTGCCTACCCTCCCTGTGAGGCCCTTTATGGGCCTAAACCCAATTTTGTTCAGATCTGGTCAAGTAGGCTAAATTTAAAAATCTCTAACTACAACATATGAGGAGGTAGTTCTGTTGCTCTGCCCACCTCAACCATCTACCCCCTCTCAAGGCAAAAGGAGTAAGGAAGTCACTTTGACCTTCTCCTCTTCTCAGTAAAGGGGTATTCAAAAGGAGCTACTTGACTATGCCTTTAAACCCAAATCACTCTGGCTGTCACTGATTGGCCAATAATAGGTCCCAGCCCAAACCTCACTTGCTAATTATTTGGCTCAGAGTGAGTATGAATCTCAATTGCTTCTGTTCTGGCCAGAAACTCTGAGGGTCTTCCCTTTCCAAATCGATTCTTTTATGAAGGCAAATTAGGACATCTTTTGCCTCGATTCATACCTAGCCTTCAACTATTGAATGGGTGTTGCCTCAGACAAACTGGGACCCAGGAAAGACCTTAGCTTAAAAAGGCCAAGGTCTCCCCCTGCTTCTGGGGCCATCCCCAGTCATCCTGCTACTGGACTCCCACGACTCTGGAGAAAGAGTGACACTGATGACTTTGCACAGCCATGCCTCATTTAAATCCAATTCACTTGCAAGTCAAGACATCACCCTCCCAATAGCACTGGTCCTCTTCAAGAATGAAGGACCAACAACAATCTCAGTAAAGTTAACTGTGATAGTTCCGGGAAAAGTGTGCAGGTGGAGTTAAGGTGGTAGAACATAGTAACTGAACAGAAGGGACTGGTCAGGAAACTGCTTTAACAAAGGGAGGCCAAGGCTGAAAGGGCAAGTAGGAAAATATGCTAAAGGCAGAAAGAGGTGGGAGGGGACTAAAGCTGGGAGAGATAAGGAATAGAATCCTAGAGGAGTATGAATCTTGCCTTGGGATACTTACTGTGTGACCTTGGGCAAGTAACTTAATCTTCCCCCAGCCTTGGTTTCCTCATCTGTAAAATGAGGATAATAACAGTGTCCCTCTTACAGGGTTGTTGTGAGGATCAAATGAGCTAATGTTTGTAAGATGCTTTGTGAACCTTAAAACTACATATAAATTAAGTGATAGCCATTAGATATGGAGAATAAGAAGGCACAGGCAGCTAGGCAGTTCAGGGGCAGAGCACCAGGCCCAGAGTCAGGAAGACTTGAGTTCAAATCTAGCCTCTGCCACTTACTAGTTGTGTGACCCTGGACAAGTCACATAACCCTATTTGCCTCAGTTTCCTCATCTGTCAAATGAGCTGGAGAAGGAAATGGCAAACCATTCCAGTACCTTTGCCAAGAAAATCTTAAATGGGATCACGAAGAGTTGGATATGACTAAAATGACTGAACAACAATAAAATCAGGAGACACAGAGATAGCAGTCATCAGAGCCACAAAAATGTCAAGTAAAAAGCTGGCCAAACTTTCAAACAATGCCTGGCATATAGTGAGACTTAATGAATGCTAGTTGTTAAAAAAAAAACCACTCTTTCCACCTTCGGTCTCATTACAACAACAAAAAAACCATAATGAAGAATTTCTTTTCCCTCTCTACCTCAACTGAGACAGGAGCTGGACCAGGCACCGAAGAGGCATTCCCCAGTAAAAAGGAAAATTGTTCCATCCCTACATTCCCTCCCACTCCTGCTGGGCTGAACTGTTCACACCAGCTTCAGTTCTCACAAGCATGTATCTGAGCCCTATCCTCCCAGAAAGGGGAAGAAGCTTAGAGGGAATGGGAAATGTCTCTTTTAGATGACAGAGGACAGGATAAAAGGCGATAATGAAGACCTTGGTCTGTGGTGTAGTTAAGGCATTAGGAAGGAGGGGGAAGGTATGCAGGGGCCAGCCCCCTAATGTCAGCTTTGTGCTAGGAGGAAAGACAGAGAGAAGTGTACTGGGGACCCAAACCTTCCTTTTGCAGCAAAAGGCAGAGGCACTTACACACATAAATGCATAGGCACATAATAGAGACACCAGCATTTCCACCCTAGACATTAGAGCTCTTCACTGCCACCCCCTCCCACCTGTACACACTACCCCCCATCATATTTAGCTGACAGATCTCTCCCAGAGAGTAGAGCCTTAGATTACTGCTGCTCCATCCTTACTCAGTTTGCCCCAGTTTCCTCATCTGCAAAATGAGCTGGAAAAGGAAATGGCAAACCACTCCAGTACCTTGGCCAAGCAAATCCCGAATGGGATCAGGAAAAGTTGAACATGACTGAAACAACTGAACAATAACAAAGTCAGGAGACAGAAGAATTTTTTGGACCAAAAAAAGGTGTATTCATGCAAAGGAAAGTGTCCAGTCCTCCCAATGTTATGTTTTGAGAAGCTACACTTGTTACCCTTAATTTTAGCTGTCAAACTTGCTTTCCTGGCAGCTAGCTGGGAATGGGATCTGAAGAAGTGGGATGTTTTTCCCATTGGTGCCACCCCTTAGTTCATGTCTTTCTCCCTGCCCCCCTTCTTTCTCCTCCCCAAACAAATGCAGTTCCTGGTCAAGATGATCATAGAATTTAGAACAGATAGGGACTTTGGAGGCCATATACTCTACCGTTGTAAAAGAGATGGATAACACTGTTATTCAGTTCTGCCGGACTCTCTGTGACCCCATTTTGGGTTTTCTTACCAAAGATACTGGAGTGGTTTGCCATTTCCGTCTCCAGCTCATTTGACAGATGAGGAAACTGAGGCAAACAAGGTGAAGTGACTTGCCCAGGGTCACAGAGCTAATAAGTGTCTGAGGTAGGATTTGAACTCAGGTCCAATTTGATTCTAGGCCCAGCACTCTATCCACTTTGCCACCTAGCTTCCCCGGACAACACTGACCTCGCCTTACTTTACAGATGAAGAACTTGAGGCCCAGAGAGATTAATCGACTTGTCTTGGTCACACAGGAAGTTGTTAAGCACAAAGGGCAGGCTACACCTTCGGCGGAGAGCTGTGTCTCCCAAAGGCTGCAATTAAAAGGTGAGGTTCCAGCTAACTGGGACTGAAGCTGTAAGTCAAACAGAATTCCCCAACTGTTCCCAAGGGACTGTTTATTGTTTTTAAGGTTATTGGAAGCTACCTACTTCTACTGGGTTCTCCAGCCTTGCAACCCTTTTCTCTGGCCCACTCCCCTTTCTCCCCATCAGTTCCGTCCTTCCCCTCTTCTGCCCCCGCCCCTAGCTTTCCTCCCGGAGGTCTCTAGCACCCTTGGGGGAGAAGCGAAATAATGACAGTTACAAGCACCTACACTAATACAAAAATAATAATAGGGATGCCACTGAGCTCAGGTTCCTCCAGCCCAACTTCCAATACTCTCCCGGGACTGGGTGCAGGGTCGAGGTATTGCACCTGGGGGATAGGTGCTCCCAAGCTTCTTCCTCAGGAGCCGAGGAAGAGATGGCTAAGGTTCCTTCCGAGTCCAAAATTGTAAGCGCTGAACTCTAAATTCCACCTTCCCTCCTTCCCCGCCCCCCTTCCCCGCCGCCAGCGGACTGGCCCATCAGGGCGGGGCGGGACCGGTCTCGCTCCCTCCCCTCTGTCCAGGGCTGGGGAAGGCGGGGGAGCCGGCTGGCCCCTCCCCGGGCTCGGAGGAGTGCGCTTGGGGCCGATGGTTAAAGAGGCGCAGGCGGACGAGGCTGGCGCAGTGTAAGGCAATAGCCGGGTGGCGGGCAGAGAGGAAGCCCACGTGTCTCCCCCAGAGTGGGACCTGGAGCGCCCACTTCTTTATCCCAACGCAGAACCGTCCCTCCCCAAAGCCCCCTTCTGTTCCCAACCCACAGGGTTGTGTAAATCGAGGGTCCTTCTCCCCCACTGATCACTAACCCCCAGCGGGCCAACTTGGCGGAGAAACTTTGCCCTGGGAGAGGCGCTCGGTGAGGAAAAAGGGGGCACTGCGCATGCGGAGCTCCAAATTCAAACAGCTGTTTCCAGAGGCTGCGAGGGAGGGCGGTGGGGAGCTCTGGGGCTTGGGGGGCCTCTTGCCTCCGGCACCATCCGCCCCTAGCCTGGCGCAGGCCGGGAGTGGCCGGCCCCCTCCGGAGCCATGGTGGACCGGGGACCTCTGCTGACATCGGCCATCATCTTCTACCTGTCCATCGGGGCGGCAATCTTCGAGGTGCTGGAGGAGCCGCACTGGAAGACCGCCAAGGATAACTACAACAGGGAGAAGAGCAAGCTTCTTAAAGACTTCCCGTCCCTGGGGCAGGAGGGCCTGGACAAGATCCTACAGGTAAGCCTGGGCAGCCAACCGGCCTTGGGGTCCTGGCTAAGCTCGGGGGCTTGCTCTTGCTTTTTTGGGAAGGTGACTCGGTCTCTCCCTTGTCCCGCCCTAGTGGCTCTCCCCATCCTCTAGGAGTGTCTGTTCTAGGACTTGGAACATCTAGGGATGGTGGGGTGCTGACACTTCGAAGCTTTTGAGGGGGTTGCTGAGAGGAACCTCTCTCCCTGACCCTCCTCCAGTAATATCCTTCTCCTGGATTCAAGCTGTCTCCTTTCCTCTGGGATTATCATTCCTCCTCTTGTCTGAGCTGAAAGCCTGGAAAACCTCCTGGGGAGGTGGGGAGGAAGGATGAACCTTCCCTGGGACGATGTAACTTTGGGGGCAGAAAGGAGTAGAGCCTGTCAGGAGATCAATTTAGCACACTTTTCAAGCGCCTGCAACGTACTGGTTACTGTTAAGAAGCTGGAAGGAATGCAAAGATGGGCAAAAAACGAGGGAGCCCCTGCTTTCTGGAAGCTTTCTATTTACTAGAATACCGGGAAGGGTTCGGAGCCCTTCGCGTCCAGGGACATTGGGAGGTCCGCTTTGGCTAGTCCTGAGGAGTGACCCTTCCTTGACCCTGGAATTGGCCCTCTCTGAGCTAGTGTGTGCCGCCAGTCCATCCCTCCCAGAGGAAGGGCTGGAAGGGAGGACAAAAGCTTCTGATCGTGCCTTGGAGCCTCTCTGCCAGCCCTGGGGAGATCTTAAATGCCCTCCCCACTTCACTCCAGTGCTGTGAATCGTGCGCGGTCTTTCCTCAGTTGCCACACAGTGAGGCTGAATTTGGGGGTAGGGGTGCGAGGTGCGGTGCAGCTCCGGGGCTCTGGCTCCCCGATCCTGCCCCCACGTGCTAGCTGGTCGAAAGCCTCCACTCCCCCAGCGGGGCCTCAGGGAGAGGGAGATGGGGAACAGGTAGATGTTGTGACCTGTTAACTCTGGAGCAACTTGGAGCGGGTAGGGGGAAGGAGGACACTCTCTGGCACATGGGGTCTGTGGGGAGCGGTGGGGGGCTGGCAGGCTACTCACTTCCCGAGGTGCCTTATCTCCCCTCGACACTGGGGCTTAAAAATATTACTGTTGGAAAGGAGGTTAAAATGCAACCCTCCAAAAAAGCCAAAACAACAAAAAGAAAACCACCTAAAACAGATTCCCTTGGATGGCCAAGTTTTGCTCCAGGCATAGCGCCCCCCCCCCGCCCCGTCCTTTCTTGAGGGAGGCCATGGGGACTGAGGATGGTTTGCACTAGATGAAGGCGGGAATGGGAGGTGGAGGGGGCCTCTAATCTTTGGTCGGTACACACCCCGTCGATCCAGCTGACCTCACGGTTCGAGCTGCCAGCCGCCCATTCTGGGTGGTGCTGATCTTTCGGGGTGAGAGCAAACACTGTGCTAGCATTGGGTGCAAGGAGAGACCACTAGCAGTCTGTCTGCACTGGGATCATCCGACGATTTATGCCTGCTGGTCTGCTCCCCTCTCCCTTTCTCCCCCTCCCATCCCCCTCTCCTTGTGCCTGCGGACAATGGGGGGAAGAAGCTAAGGGGGCCTGAATAATCCTTTGGCTATGCAAAGTAGAGAGTGGCGGCTATTTGTGTAAGATTAGGGTCTGGGTTGAATGGAAGACTTGTTTTCCCCTAGTATCTCCTCTATGTTATCTTGGACAAATGGCACACGGAGCTTCAAGTTCCCCATCTGTAAAATAGGGAAGGGATAGAGAGAATAAACTCAACTGCACTCTGAGATTCTTGAAGCTACAAAAGCAGAAATGATTGTGAAAGCAGTGTACTTGGTTGGGGAAGCCCCCCAAACATTTCTTCCAATCTTTAGGAATCCAGGTTTCTAGTTTCTTAAAATGTCATAGTGACCGAGGAGGATCATGTGGGTGAGTAGAGGCACTAGCAGAATTGGCTTGTGTAGACATGCCTTCTCAAGACAAGGAGCCAGAGAGGACTTTCTGCCTTTTCTCTGGGTCTGTTGGGGTGAGGGTGACCTACCAATGGGGCTCCACACCCTTCTCATGTGCCAAGTCCTAGAGAAGTCAGAGATGGAAGATTGAGGAGTTCAAAGTAGGGTCAGGGGAATCAGGATCCTTGGGATAGTTCATGGGGGAAGAGAGTTTTGGGGAACCAGTGGTTGGTAGTAGAAAACCCTTACCAGTTTCACTTACTGGAGAGTTCCTAAGAGTGATTCTGTTACTCTCAAGTACATTACTAGTCTCAGCTGACTTGGGGGTGGGGGAGGAGAGTATACTGGATGATTTCCCTTGAGGAAACAATTTCCCTGGAAAACAAGGTTTTCGTGTAGTTTTCTTTACCTCTTTGTTTTGGTGGTGGTTGGAGGGGGGGGTGCACACCAGGAAGAATTATAAAGCCTTGTTCTCTCCTCTAAACGTTTCCCTTTTAGCTGCTACGGGACTGTGATAGGGGAAGGAAGGAAAAAATCCTAGGCTGAATGTGGGAAAATAAATTTCAAAACATGAAGGGAAAGGGGGGTGGGGGGGAAAGGAGGCAGCTGAGTACAGCTGCTGGTGGTACTGCAGCCGGCTGGCTTCCTTAAGGTGTTTGAACAAATAAAATGCCTCTTAATTCCGAGATCCTGCTAAGACTGTAAACAGAGCTCCGGCCCTCACTATAAAATGGGCAGGTAACTTGCAAAAAGAATTTGGGCATCAGCCCAGGGCTTTGAACAGTGTGATTGAAGAACATCATGGACACGTCCACACATGCACTGTTTCTCTTCCCCTTCCCACTCAAGTTCTGACCCCCTCCTTTATCATCCCCCCCTCCCATCATAAATGACCCAAGTGAAGCATTTTACCAATTTCAATTTCCCCTGTGCTAACCTGCTTCTCTCCCCTTTATGATCTGTGCTTTGGGCACAGCCTTTGAGCTAAGGAAATAGTTTAGAAAGAGAATGAAAGAACTCTTCTTCTTTGGGTGGTAACTAGGTATTGTTACCCATCTGGCCCCTTAGCCATTTCTGAATACAAGAACACTGAAGAATCAAGTTTTCCTGTTAAATCTCAGTAGGATGGAAATTCCTTGAAGGTAGGAACTGGATTTTGGATTTGTTTTATTTTTTATGTCTTTATATCCCCAGGGCCTCAAACATAAGCAACAACAATAATAATAATAAGTATCATTTTATCTAGAATATTATCAGCTTTATCTAGAATATTATCAGGCAGAGTAGATAGAGTAGCAGCACATAGAGTCAGGAAGACTCCTCTTCCTGAGTTCGAATCTGGCCTCAGACATTTACTAGCTCTGTGACCCAGGCAAGTCACTTAACACTGTCTGCCTCAGTTTCCCCATCTATAAAATTGAGCTGGAGAAGGAAATGGCAAACCACTCCATTTTCTTTGCCAAGAAAACCCCAAAATGGGGTCAGGAAGAGTTGGACACAACTGAAATGATAAACAACTTCCTGACTTAAAACACTATCCATTGTACCACCTAGCTGCTTTGGGCTGTGTAATTCAATTTAAGAAATATTTATTAAGTGCCTATAATATGCAAAGTATTATACAAAGTTCTCAACCTCCTCAACAGAACCTAAAAACACAGGAAAGGAGGAGACTGAGAAATGCAAGGGGGAGGGATATCAGTGTGGGTGGGGTTAGAGAGCAGGGGGAATAGGGTGTTTTGACCTTAGTCACATAAAGCATCTCATTTTATAGATTTGCAAACAATTTTCCAAATCGCTATTTGGAGTTTGATACACCCTCACCTACAAAAACTTTCCTGTCTTCTTGGTGCTATGATTTGACTATGCTGTGGAATGCTAGATTCAGACCCAAGGTTTGAATACTTATTACCTCCATGACCTCTGCTGATAATTTTAAAATCTGCTTATCTAACCCGAACCTCTCTGCTAGCCTTCAGTCTTGCATCTTAGACTACCTAGTGAACATCTCATAGTGGATGTCCTGTGGACAGACATCTCAACACAGCCCAAACTGGACTTATCATCTTTCCCCACAAGCCCTCCCCCTCCTTATTACTGTCCTGATACCTATCTTCCTAGTCACCCAGGCCTGAAACCTAGATATTGTCCTCATTACCTTCTCTCTTCTCTTCTGACACTGCCACCAACCTGTTGCATGCCCTCATTCCTGACCTCACACCTGAACTATTGAAACAGTCTGCTAGTTTTGGTATTCTTGCTGCAAGTCTCTTCCCTAGTTCATCCTAACTGCAGGGTTGACCACCTCACTTCCCTAGTCAGACTCCTTATCACCTCCAGGATCAAATATCAAATCCTTTGGCATTCAAAGGTCTTCATAATCTGCTTACCTCAATAGCTTTTCCAGTCTTAATCTTACTTAGTTTCCACCTTATTGTTGTTTCCTTCTCCAGCTCATTTTTACAGATGAGGATCTGAGGCAAACAGGGTTAAGTGACTTGTCCAGGGTCACACAGCTAGTAAGTTACGAGGCCATATTTGAACTGGGGGAGAGGTCTTCCTGACAACATTATCCACTGCCTCACCTAGCTGTAGCTACACCCCTCTACAGACTCAGTGATCCAGTGGCCAGATCCTCCTTACTGTTCTCATGAGACAATTCACTTCCTGGCTCCGGGCATCTAAACTGGGTTCCCCTTGCCTGAATTTCCCTTCCTCCTCATCTCCTACTCCTGGCTTCCTTCAAGTCCCAGCTAAAATCTCATCTCCTACAAGAAGCCTTTCCCAATCCTGCTTAATTCTAGTGCCTTCTCTCTATTGATTACCTCTGATTTATCCTGTGTAGATCTTGTTTGTATGTAGTTGTATGCATCTTGTCTCCCCCGTTACACTGTGAGTTCCTTCAGGGATTCTTTTTTGCCCTTTTTTGTATGCTCATCCATTAGCACAGGGCCTGGCACATAGTAGGTGCTTAAGAAATATTGACTGACCTTGGCCAAGTTACTTCTGCGCAAGTGTTCTCATCTGTAAAATGAGGGGCTTAGGCTAGCTTGCATTTAAGGTGCATT